ACCGTGATGTTGGTTCTACTCTGCCCTTTTTATTTACATTTTAAAAAGAAAAAACATTCTGTTTAACATTTATCTCAGTTCAGTAGAGGTTGAGTTAACACACTTTTATACGATCATTCTCACACGGACTGTTTTTTGTTTTGTGAGGGTTTTTTTTTTTACGGTGACATAATCCATTCCTTAGACTTTGGTTAACCACAACTACTAGTAGAAAACATTATTTATCCCCATGGGCCAACTGAGAGGGGGCAGATCAGCAGGTGAAGAGGGAAAATAAAGGATTAGTATATAAAGAATGTAAAAGTTAAAAGAAATAAAAAATAAAGGATCGCAGCAGCAGTTACTACAGTAACAGTCAGTCAATTATATTCTATGTACACATTAAAGTGAGGTGACAATGACAACAGGCCAGCTGTCGTACTGAGTAAGTATACAACTATTACACAGTTGAAAATGATTGTACATGATGAAAATACTGTGTACATGTATTTGACAGTGGTCATTTGAAGTTTTCCTATTTCGGATTACTGTTTCTTTAGTTTTGTAATGTAATCCACATTACAAAAATAAATCTGATCTAAATAATTACCCCGTCTCTAATCTGGCCCTAATCTGAACTCAAAACTTCTTCTTAAACTCAATACTTCATATTGTCCCCATGAGGACAATGTGTTCCCACGGTAGTATTTTCCATATATTGTCCCCATTAGCATCATTATTATGAACACCCACACACTCACACAGTATCTGTCAATGATGTCATTCTTCTAATCTGTCCATGATCCAACAAAGCTCTGAGATCACACGTCTCCACACACTTTCATCTTCCAGCTCCACTTCACCACCGGCTCTGTTTGATGAAGAAACATCTCTGTTTCTTCTGGTTTCCTCCACTGGCTCTTTCATCACAGCTGCTCAGTCTGGCTGTGTTTTCACCTAATGAAACACACACTATGTGTGTGCGCGTGTGTTGTCGTCTGTGAGCTTAATCACTGCTAAAGTGTATGCATCTGTGAAAGTGGGTGTGGCCTCAGTGTGCGGACATTGATTGAGGAGTTGATTGTAATCACGTGTCTCTGAGTGTGTGTGTGTGTGTGTGTGTTGTTGGTAAAGCTGTACATGTGGGGACAGGTCTGACAGACAAAACACTAACCCTGAGTGTGTGTGTGTGTAAGTGCATGTCTATGTGTGAGTGTGTGTGTAAGCATGGTAAGTGGAGGTGCCGTTAAAAATCCAATTAACACCTTGAAGATAAAAATCTGCTTTTTTCCTCCCCCTCCCTCTCAGACTGTCTCTCAAGTCTGTCTCTGTAAATGTGTTGGAAACACAACTTGACTTCACTACTTGGCTACACCGGGCCAGATTTTGGTCGATGTTTTTCTGGGTAAAATCTAACCAAACAGTATTTGAACATGTGTCTGAGATGAAACTACTTTTTCTTTCCATTTCAATAACCCTGTCGTCTTCTTGATTCTAAAGCACATTTGCTGCTGATTCATCTGTCATCTCAGGATAATGAGTCCATTTAAACATGTCAGGATGAAACACAGCCTGTTCCTGCAGCAACACTGGGCACAGATTGAAGGAACCATTTCACGACTGAGTGGAGCAGTGGCCAATAACAATCTGAGCACCGAGAACTAACCAATCAAGAGAGTCACTGAGTGGAAAAATACACTCGGCTTCCAAATATCACACTGATATATGACAGAAGACATCAAGACGGTTGTACTGTAGTGGTTTAATGTCACGAGGAAGTCATCGACTGTTCTGTCCTGAGCAGATCTTCATGTCAGTGTCTTCAACATTGATCTTCACAGACATGTCCTTCAGACCAGCTCTGTGTTCTTTCTATTATGACTCTCATGTCATCTACAGACGCCTGGGTGATTGAACTCCCTCTGATCAGTCGTGTGGGAGCCATCTTTGAACCACTGACATGAGGAACAACATCTGCTCAGCTTTCAGTAATTAACCAAACACAGAGGTTTTTGTTCAGGCAGCCTCTTGGCCAACACACGTACTTGTATTCCAGTTCTCCTCCAGCATCAACCACCTGCTATTCAGCTGCACAAAATGGTTGAGATTAAGTTCCAGTCAGGTCCAAGCACCTCAGCAGAGAGGAGGCTGTCACACTGTGTTCCTGGCGAGTGTTCTAATCACTTCTTCCACTGTGTGACGTCTGGTCCTCTCATAAGGAAAACATTATTCCGATAATTATCGTAGGGTAATTATTTATGATGTACCCTCTAAAAATACAGACAGTACGCAGAAGTCTGTGCAGTACTTCACATTACTGTAGGTTCAGTACGTAGCCACAGTGTTCAACATCACCTTCACTTTAACCTCCTTCCACCTCTGGCTCTGACTCCTATAGTTCCCTCTACAGTTGAATCTGTTGATGGATTATATTGGATGTGATATTGTGAGCCAACGTTTGCCATTGATATGATCACATGACCCTTAGTTTTACAAAGAAATAGATTCAAATATGTGTCCCTTGTTATTGTGATTTTCATCATCAGTTTGGAAATTTGAATGTTGTGGTGACGTAGACACGTTTCTTCTTCTATTGTCCAAAAACATGCAGATTGGTCATTAGGGTCACTGTAAACTGACCAGAGTTTTTTGTTCTGTACCAGAGGACATACATGGTATATGGCACATGGTATATGGTTTGGGCTGAAAAAGCCTTGTAATGTAGGCAGATCTCACACAGTGGCAATTTGTTCTGATTTTTCCTCTCTGGTAATAGAGCGGGGGAGGAGAGAGAGAGAGAGAGAGAGGGAGAGGGGGGATGGGGTGGTTATTGTAAAACCTCTTCACCAAATATTTCCAGTGAAAGAATGTTGTTGTCCATTAGACTCTCTCTCTCTCTCTCTCTCTCTCTCTCTGGCGTCATTAGCCTTTTTTCTCACAACAAAGACAGGGCTGTTTTTGTTCATAAATACATGAATGCGCGTGTATGTGCGAACATTTACCCACACACACACCTGTACATGAAAATTCCCTTTGACGTGTATCAATGCAATTAGCCTCCAACCCACACTCCCCCACCACGCCTGCTGTCCTCTCTACTCACACCCACACACATACAGACGCTGTTGATCCTTGATCAATGTGACATTGACCTCAGACTCAGATTTGGACCGAACTCTGTGTGAAGTGACCAATCACTGTTTAGTTGATGTTTCTTTAAGGGAAAACTATTTAATTCTATTCTTTATTTATCTGAAACATCTTGGAACACATGGATGATTTGATCCACAGGATGTTGGTGTCCTGAACTGTTTTTGTCACTTTATGCTACATGGAGGACAAACAGTTCTACAGCTGTGAACAACACACACACACACACACACACACACACACACACACACACACAGATGCTGATCGGTGACACGTCCAGTGTGGCCCAATATGAGGACTTCCTGGACTGCACCATATGGACTTATGTAGCTTCTTCACCATCTTTGTTCCAACAAACGTCATCTGTCCGTGTCGTCTCTGTACGCAGTCACAGTCCAGACTCTTCACATTCTGTTTGACTGCTGGAGGAAGAAGATGCCAAATGTTGTTTGAGCGGGGGAGAGCAGGGGAGAGCAGGGGAGGGAGGAGCCTCTTTACTGGCCTTAAGAACCACTTCATCCTCCCAAATAACCATTTACATAGTTAAACACTTGCCTCTAGAAACTGAATATAGTTCCAGGCAGCGCTCCCATCAGCCCGTGACAGGGCACGACAGTAGATGATGAACGTAAAGAGACGACGATAGACTCTGACAAGTGCAGCCTGAACGTTTGACCTCACATGGTTCAAATGTACAACTTAAAGGTGAGAATCTGAGAATAAGAATCTGTGGAAACTACTGTGAGCCAACCATTAGAATACACTACATTATATTTTACAGATACATATGAAGTTCAACTGATGACATGTAGCACTAAAATCAGTGACACGCTAGTGAAATAGATGGAGATCATTTATTTACAGGTCTGAATTTAGCTGACTCACTGTGGGGGAGGGAACATGGTGTCAGTGAGACACAGTGACAGGAGGAGACAGATTGACTCTGCAGAATAAAACTATTATATAAAAAAGAGTGTATAGACATATACAGTATTATTACTTTTTTATATTTGTGTATGCTTTTCATTCACTTTCCTTTGTTTTCTCTTTCTCTGCTAGTTGGCGCTCTACCCCCTCCTTCTTTCTTTACTTTACAGTTTCCTATAACTCCAGACCTGCAGAAACTGATCCAGTCATGACACTGCTGTCATTCATATATATTTTCTCCCCCTTCAGTCTGCTGTCTCCCCCATCTTTCCCTCTTTGCCGTCGCTGTACACTCTGAGTCTGAATCTGCTGCAGATGAACGCAGTTTTTTCTCCACACTGTTGACAACATGATGCTCAGTGTTTGGTCTAGGTTTTTCTATAATAATTGTAAAAACAACTGCAAAAACAACATATTGACTATATATTTTATAATACTGACTTAAACCCTGCCCAGTCCACTGAGCTATAATGTGACTGGTCAAATAATGTTTTCATACTTGACTTTATGAATGTTATATGCAGTGGTCGACATTGAAATGAAACGTAAAATATGGTTAACAGTCAGTTAACCAGTTTAACCAGCTAGTTAACTAAGTACTAGTCTGGTTATAAACAAAAGTGAAGACAGGGAGGACGTCTGGCTGAAAAATGCACACTGTTCAAAATGTATATCCCCAGACAGACTAATCTCTGACTGTGTGTATGTGTGTACACTGCTGTGTGAAGCTAAATGACAGGACTCTAGGAGTGGTTGTTCATTTTATCTACCTGTAAATACAGGTAATAAATCTACCTTTAAATTCATCACTATTGACCTTTTTGTGGAAAAACAAAAAGGATTTACTGATTTATTGTCTGTTAAGTCAGTGTCAGTTACAGCAACACACACAGCCACACACACAGACAGACAGTCAGGCAGACAGACACAGTGTATCTCAGTACCTCTGTCAGTGCCGCTCTTGCCTCCAGATGTACAGCAGTGCAGGTCGACTCGGTCGTATCTCCATCAATCCTTCAGCATCAGAGACAGAGAAGAGACAGAAAAACAACCAGAGAGCCGGCGTCAGTCACATCCAGCAGCAGAAACTGTCAGGCTGGTAGAAATCACTGGACTCTGGACTTCTCTTCCATTCACACTGTTTTCCTCTTCCTCACTCACACACACACACTCTCCCTCTCTCTCCTGACTCCCGCTCTCACACTAACTCTCTCCCTCACACACACTGATTCTCCATCTGTCACCACCCCTCTCCTTCAGCCCTCCCACCTCATACATTATTAATAAACCACATACACACACACACACACACACACAACAGCTCCACTGCTGTCAAACACATGCGCTCAGACACACACATTACAAGCTATTTACAACTGTCACACAATATAGAGAAAAAAACTGTGCAGGACACAGACGTCACAGAGAAAACAAATACATTTAAAAAAAACCCAAGAAAATGACAAATGTATAATATTATAAATGAAAATGAAAAAAACTTCACTGAGAGTCTGTCTGGTGGAGAAAAAAAACCAAATATTTTTCTCACTTCTCTCCTCACACGTGCATGTAAAATATAAAGGCTTCTACACACATCAGCCAAGCATGAATATATTCACATGCTAAACACAAATACACACACAGGTCACTGAGACTGACACACAGACAGGGCAGATCATGCATGAATGCACGGTATGCATGCACACACACAGAATTCACCCACACACAAACATGATACACTGATGTGAAACCCACCCCCACCCCCACCTTAATACAGCTACCCTCTCCAGTTGCCCCCTTAGCTGGAGGCAATTGGAGTTCTAGTGAAGCAGACGTGGCTGGAAGGAAGGTCAGTCAGCAGAGGGTGAGTGAGTGGGTGGAAGCCAAAAGCAAAAATACTTGAAAAAAATAAAACAAAACATGAAGGTAAACACAGCTGCCAGGAAAATAAAAAAGCATTTCAACATGTTGTATGTTGTAAGTAACTCACGGTTTTCATTTTATTCTGTTTATTTTCATGATCTACCGTCATCTGATCTTATTCTTTTTAAATTGTTTTTATCCAACGAGTTAACAGTAAGTTCTATGTCCTCAGAAAAATCAATTGAGAAATTTAATTAGATGAGTAAATGTAAAAAAAGGGAACATTTGGATTAAAGCTGCGAACCAATGTTTGTTTTTGTAATTGTTTGAATCAGTTTCTGTTCAAATGCAGCTCCAGAGATTTCAGAGGTGAACAAAGTTGTAGTTCAATTTAGAGCCAAAGTCAGAAGGTCCAGAAACTGAGTTCTTTTTAAAAAAAAAGGTCGAAAGGAGGAAGGCGATGGGATGGCTGAGGGATGAGGGGCCTTCAGGGCATGTAAAACAGCCCCATCTCTCCTCACCTCCTGCCAGTGGGAACTCTGAACTATTCATTTTTGTCTGTGTACATCTGTATTTGTGTGTGTGTGTGTGTACATGTGCATTGACCTCCTCAAAATGCCTGGCGTTTACAGGATCACATCTCTGTCCAGTTGCCAATGATCAATAACTCCGCCCCATCCACTGCTCCAAGCTACGACATGCAAATGATTCATGCATATCATTAAACACATGGCCCCAAAACAAAGGGAAGAACTCAACAGCCCCAAAGATGCGAGTCAAGATGTTGCTTATTCACTCAGACACAAACACACACACACAGAGAGAGCTTGCCTTATGGTCAGCACTTCATATAGACATTATACATTATTCAGCTCATAACCCAGAGCTTGAATATTACCAGTAAACTGTCCCCATAACACAAAGTAGTACTTGTGCAAGAATATGTTCCCAAAAGTATGGCTATATATCTATATACACACACACTAGAACAACAAATATATTGAACACACACCGGCCACCACACACAGATGGATGGTTCCACACGAACAGCCCGTTTCAAAAGTATCAGGTAACTCACTAATTGACTTCGTAAAAAATGTATGTAGTGATATATAGAAGAGACATCAGGAGGACAATAAAGACCTGGGATCAAAGAGATGTCACTCCATGATGATAAAGCCCACACAAAAAAGGACATTCAAATGAATTTCTTTGACAGCAGGAAACATTTTCTGAGATGATTTGTCACATTTGTCACAGGTACTGAAGAAAAGACCACATGTTTGAAGTGACCTGTTCTTCTGCTCCATGTGAAGGTAAAGACGCCGATCGTTTTGAATGAAATGAGACCACGTTGTTAAAGCTCAACATGATGCTGGATGTTGGCTAATATTAATATATTTAATAGTTCTATTGTTTAAATAAACCTGTAGAAACAGCAGAGAGGAGAGAGTGACGAGGCAGCAGCTGCTGCAGACAGTGAGAGAGAGAGAGAGAGACTCACTGTAGGAGATAAAAAAACACCGGTAATTGTTTGACCGTTGCTATGACTACGCTGATTATGAATAACACACACACACACAGGTAGCGAGAGAGAGAGAGAGAGAGAGAGAGGCGTCAGGATGATTTAATTCTGCTCTTTAACAGGTGGACACCAGAGAAAACAGTCCGTGCTGCTGCTGCTGTTGTTGTTGTTGCTGTTGTTGTTGTTGTGTTTCGTCATGTTTGACAGATTGAACCCGGTTTCTGTAGCTAAACAATATTTACACTCTGTCAGATTTTCTGTTTTTAGCCAATAAAGTTTTGGTTCATAAACTAAAAGTGTTTATGAACATCCACAATAATAAATATTCTGAAACTGAATAAAGCCCTGAAGGAAACACCGTTCTACAAACACTGACGTCTTTCGATAAGTAGATGACTGCAACTAATTCCACTGCCTTTGTATATTCTTAAAGTTGAATCCAAACCCCAGGACAAACAACACACTTGAATCGTTTCAAGGTTTCTAATCCCAGACAGACTCCAGGACGTTCAGATCAGGTCTGAGCAGCAGAGGCTGGGAGGGTCGGACCATCTGTTTGAGAACCTCTTGTTCTTCTGGTCACTGAAGACAGTTCTTAATGAGTTTGGCTGTGTGTGTGTGTGTTTGTCCTGCTGATCAGTGAATCTGGGATTACCACGTCTCCTGATAAGACTGTGCCGTGGATTAGAAACTGAACCATTCACATGACAAAGACGTTGGAGCAGTAAAGAAAACTGATGTCCTCTCTGACAGACGTTTGTCTTCTTCAGACCTGCCCCCACCCCACCCCACAAACAACAACTATTGTTTACAGAATTCATCAGACACTCAGACACTTTACACTGTCATTAAACACTAATCTCCTTGTCTATAACAGCATCAGCTGGGATTTCTGATCAAACCAAATCATTTGGTTTAAGTTTGGAAAGAAGTTCAAATTAAAGGCACTGCCAGGTTGGTTTTGGTTTTTTAATTGAGGTTTATAAAAATTCAGAATCTGACGATAACTATGGATAAACAAAGGCTCTTTAGAGCAGCTGTTGGAAGGTGAGTTAAGAAAGTGCAGTTGGAAAGCAGGTGTGTGTGTGTGTGTGTGTGTGTCTGTTCTTTTATTATTGTTAAGTCAAGAAAGGTTGGCGCGCGCCAAGCCTATTGTCCAGCCTATGACCCCCATCCTAAGACAAACTTGCAAAACTACCATGTGTCACACACACACACACCCACACACACACACACACACACACACCCAGACAGACACACTTCTGTCCCCCATGTCTTTGTCTTCAGCAACAGGAGGTGTGGTCGTTTTCCTACAGTTAATGAGTTTGTGAGGCCAAGCAGGGGCACGGGTCATACGTTCACTTAACCTCACACACACACACACACACACACACACACTCACACACACACACACTGAGCGTTACGAAAAATGTTTTAAATGCCAAAATTCACAGCAGAATATAAACAGAAATTAATAAGAAAATCTGATTTAAAATCTCACACACAAAAAAACACACACACAGACACACACACACCCTCCCAAACAAAGCCACACAGGCCCAGGAGTCTGGTGACACAATGGCTTACGACGGCAGCTGGTCAGCCGGGACTACTGGAGTTTTAAAAAGTGGGGTTTGTGTGTGTGTGTGTGTGTGTGTGTGTGTGAGTGTGTGTGCTCCACTTGTACAAGTCCCTGCATGTCTAATGAAATGCCAAGGCGACATATGAAGCAGAGAAGATGACTTGGCTAACCATCTGTGGCACAGGGCTGTATGAAGCATCTGCACCGATCAATAACACAGTCATTCTAACACACAATCACAGACACGTGTGTGTGTGTGTGAGTGTGTGTGTAAACGCAATACCCAGAGACGGATGGTCGTACATGCACTTACACACATTTCCAGTCCAACTGCTAAATCACTGTTGTGGTACAAAAGACCTTGTACTGGACAACAACAAAAAACACCTGGGTCCAACAGTGGGGACACCAGCCTCATGTTTATCCAACCAACCAATTACTTCAATCACATTTCAATCATATTTTGGAGGTTTTCCTACCTCCGTATAACAAATCATTGTAGGATGGTTTTGTAAACTCTCCAGATGCTAATTTAAAATTTAAAAAAATATTTGGCCAAAAGACGACTCCATAATGACACCTGTCAGACAATGTAGAGTTAAAGGAATCCAAAAGAAACACCATTCAGGGTTAGGGTTCTAACAATACAGGGTTCCATGACACTCATGGTCCACGGATGTTCCTTGTATTCACTACACTGTAATACTGAGTGTGAAGTCATGACAGATGAGACGAGATATGTTTGGTTACAAATGGTCCTTTAATGCACTTGAATGGACAAGTCTATTAGTGTGGCCCGAATCACACACACACACACACACCTCGTAAACCTGTCAACACTGACCCGTGCGGGTGTGGAAGTGTGTGTGTGTGTGTGTGTGTTGAAGGTCACCAGCTGAACTATACAGTTCCAGGGCAGTATCTTCAGTCTAATGCCCTCCTTGGTATTCAGCCCTGACCTTCTGTGCTCCACTGACTTCAGATCACTGAACACACAATTACACTCACACATAAAAGTGCAATAAAGTGAAGAGAGGCCCAGTA